CGAGGTTAAGTGCAAACCTTTCTTGTGAAAATAAGTCTTATTTGCATGAGACTTAAAAATCATTTTCATATGAATAGCTTCGCACTTAGCCTCGCTTTGAAGCAGAGACTTGGGCAACTCGGTCACCATCACATAGACCATAATGCACCTTGTATATATACCTGGGTTTTTGAAAACCGGGTTAGCAAAAGTATCAACTCATTCTACTTTTTAGCAATTTCAAACAATAAAACTCATTCAAAGGCCGATTAAAAGCCTTCATCTGACGCCGGGCAATAAGTTAATGGTCCCTAGAAGCACTCCAACGAGTCCAAATTTAAAATAACGCAAATTTTAGGACATTTATTCAGTAATCTGACTTCGCGAAGTTTCAGACTGGTGTCATTTCAGTCTAGAAATTTTTAAGTTGAGTGAACTGCAGTGAAAGAGTGCATGGTTAAGGCTTACATAACAACTTAAATAGTTAGCAAAACACTACTTTCCTCGCGGTCCGACAAACAACAGGATTCCGCATGAAATAGAGAACAAACTGAATGAAACATAAGTGAACAAATTATCACCTTCTTATCTGGAAAAACCGGCCTTTGGTTCAATGCCATTAGAGCCCGCTGAAACGAGACCTACAATAGATCCAATTTTTCTGAGTCGAGAGTTGCCTTTCCAAGGTACAATCAGCTAAGCTAAACACCGACGAAATAATATTAATGGCTGGCACAGAATATTTTGGCGAAACTGCAATTCAACCACGTGATCACATACCTGTCAACACCATGCGGAAATCACACAATCACACACATTCGCGGCACTGATAAGACTATCCGCGACGACGCATAATCTTCTCACCTTTGAAATAAGCGAAATATCATCGAATAACTCGGAAAAACTCAGGTCATCCATCAGAGAAGGGTAACCTTTTACCATGATATGGCTGCGGACCCACTAAACAGTGTTTTGCACTCCTTTGACAGTTGTCGGTTTAATTTGGGGTATTTGAATGTTTCATGTTAGCGATAGAACCGGACACGCAAGATTTCCACAATTTTTACACTTTAGCCAATCAGATTTTAGTAATATAGCCCGTTAATTGGTGGTTTAACGTGATTTGTTGCCTGAGTGCACGTGACAGGCGTTTGAATGGTAGGGAACTGGCCGGGAACTGGCCGGGAAAATTGATGTGTGCGAGTAAATAAAGGGTGTATTTCTTCCTTGCCACCTTTCTTCGCATTTTCCCCTTCAAAGGCCTAGCGTGCAGGTTACGCGATCAGGACATCGAGCAATCGTAGAGAATAAGAGCCCACTGAGAAAATTAAACAAAGCGTTAACTGGAACTGGTGTGATAACAAGAAAATGAACAGTATCATTAAAGGCCTTACCACAAGACAGAACGCGGACATACAGTTCACCAAGGAGATCGAAGAAAATGGTAAGATACCTTTCCTAGACTGCTTGGTCACTCGCGACAACAACAGACCACGAACGACTGTTTACAGAAAACCGACACATGCCGAGCGATTACTAGACCAGTCATCGTACAACCCGGACTTTGACGAGACGAGCGCAACTAGTTTGCGACTCACCTGACACCCTACAAGACGAGACTGACAACCTAAGCAACGTTTTTAGTATATAAAAAACAACTACAGCACGGACTTTTTTAGACGGAACACTCACAGTAACACTAATTCAGACCAACGTGAACTCTGGCCCTGTTACGACAGCGACTATACCGTACATCAGACGCACCTCTGAAACTATCGCACGTATACTATATAACTTTACAAAATACGTGTTGCACACAAACCGATAACCACTTTAAGACGACTGCTTACTAACAGACAGGGAGCAGTATACAAGATCAAATGCTGCGACTGCCAGACTACTTACATTGGCGAAACTGACCGAACACAAACGAGCGACGAGAAATGATGACGTCAACAATCACATTGCTGACCACCATTTACAGACGAAACATCAAATCGACTGGGACTCTGCGACATGTGTTACGTATTCTACAGACTCCTAACAACGACTTACTTTAGAAAGCTGGTTTACTAACTTAGAACAAACGTCACTGAATGGTAGCCAACAGTTACTAGCACCGTACGAGATCAAGCAAAACTAAATTTGACTAACAATAGACGACTGTTTAACTGCGACAATAGACGGATCAAAACACACCAATTACTGATTACGAGTCTTCATAGCCAATAACATCACGGCTTAACTGACAGACGACCAAAAACACAGTGACGTATTTGACAAATCAGATCAATAACCAAAGTATAATATCATCAACAGACGTGATACAACTCACTTTGACTCCGAAGATAACTAGTTACTGAGACTACAAAGAATAACGAAAGCGCATTGTTCTTATAACGAATTTGCATTAAATGTTTCGGGCCGGCAACGTTTTGTTTCTGGTGGATTTTCACATTTATTCTTATCGTAACGACAAAAAAAGTATATTTGGCAATGAATAATTGACAAAGGTCACTTCCGTGACTTTTCAAAGCCGCATATTCTCTCAAAACACTTGATTACAACAGTACATCGTATAATATTATTCAAAAACAAGAAAAATTTCACATAAATTAATTCAGAAATTATTTTTTGCCTCATGTTTTTTCTGTCATAGTTTTTTGACCAAAACCAAAATTTTTCCCTGAACCTTCAGTTTCATTTATAATTTTTAGCGAAAAATGTTAAGCAGTTTATTCAGTTGTTTCGCAGTGATGGAAGAGGAGCTCGCTAGATTCTGATAAGGTAAGCTTATAATCGGCAACGCAATGTGAAGCTTTTGTTCACCTTACACACGCGACGAATACCGTTAATTATACCACGGTAAATCAGTTAATACTACCACATGCTTTTTGGCGAATTTTCCTACTACGTGAAGTCCTATACAGTAACAAAATATGAGAGTCAGAGAGAGAAGAAAACTCAACGCATACTTTGTTCTAGCTAGCTGTGCGCTAAATTTATGGTAGAAATAAACATATTAGCCGAAATTAAACGGCAAATAGGCAGAGCTGCGAAAGCTCAATGCGGTAGAGCGTGTGAAAAAATAGTCGTGAGAGGGGCATTAAAATCAAGTATTAAAGAAGCGGAAGAAAGAGGACGCACTTGACGACTATATCGATTCATGGTTGAATGAGCCAGTTTCAAGCGCTGCTTTCTTTTTTGGAAGATGGCTTCTCAGTTCGACTCAGTGCACAACCATCAATTTTTATGTTCTGTTTACAATTCAAACAAGCATCAGTGCTTTTCGCACGAGCATTAATCTACTTTTCGGTCATCAAAGAGAGCTTAGCTGGTTATAATACTTTGTTCTCTAAAATGAAACTCTTGCTGGAGCTTGACACTTGGGAGTGTGTTCTTCGTTATTCTTGTAGCGTTATATGAGAAAAACTAGCAAACAAAATGTTCGCAAAATAAAGATTGTACTATAACATAATTTCAACAAATGCTACGGTCTATCATTTAAACCAGCTGGCCTCATCTTTCTATTATGCTGCGAGTATGGGATAGCATCCGGGCAATCTAACATTAAAGCTATGTTCATACCATACCGGACAGCTTTTCGTGGCACCACGAAAAGTTATCCGATATAGTAAGAACACCTATGACATATGTGACTCTCCACTTTAGAGATAGGCGCTGCGCAGCTTCGTTCCGTCACAGAAATCTCGCCGCCACAACCATTTTTGTGTGTGAACAGAAGCCTTATCCAGTATGGTTTTCGTGATGAGGGCGCAATAGCTGTTCGATGTATAGTGTAAACTAAGCATAAGAAACACTATCATGCTAAGATATATAATAAAATTTCAATACCACACAAAATGGAAGACTACTGGCCAAATGAGGAAGAAGTAAATTTACTTCTCGCCAGTTTTGTTAACGTCCCGTGGTGTTTAGCGACGTTTTACCGAGAAGATCCCATTCCGCTCTTACTGAGAATATAAAAAAGCTGAAAGGGGAAAAGTTTTACAAAATTCTATTGGCAAGCTCTACCTTCATATGCGCGTTTTGATTATTCTCGGATCGTTCTCTGGTGCGTGGGTAGGAGACAAAAAGTTCAGTATTTTGGGATACAGCTTTGCTGAGAGTTTTATTATGACCTTGCATGGCTGGTTTTGGCGGCAAAACCACCCATGATTCGCCCTGCTCCTTTGCCAAAACTTTGCTCGAACTAAATAACGATCCTGCCGTTTATGTGGGCTAAGATTCTTTCGAATTCTTAGAAAATTATCAAACAGTAGTTGACGTTTGTTACCAATCTGGCAACTCGACTGGAATTCGCATAAAAATATGCTGTACTTCTCCAGTTAAAAAGGAAAAAAAAAGAAACGTGTTTTTCTCAATCGCGTCGAGAGTTTATTGCAAATAAAAGATAAGAAACTAAAATCGAGCGCTTTTAAGTATTTCTCTAACAAGTAATGAGCGACAGCCTTTGTCAAAAGGCTACCTGGGTTTCAGTATTTTCCTCAGTTCCCCTCACTAGTATACTGTGTTTCGTTCTTTCTGTCTGTCTGTTTTTTGGACCAAAGGCGCACGCTGCTACAATATGGGACGGAAGAATTTAATATATAAAAACAAAACATGTATATCTTAATCCTAAGGTTCATGCAAGGTAAGAAAAGCAACTTGGCACTAACAAAAGTTTTTTTCGTTCAGCAACATTTACGAAACAGTATACAATAAATTTTCCAGCTCTTCCAATCGAGACAAACTCTTTTTCAAATTCAATTGATCCACCTACCTTTCATACGCCTTTCCCTGCTGTTATTTTTATAAGGTTAGTAAACGTGGCAGTCTATCGGAGCCTACTATTGTCTTCATCCAACAACAAGAAAATTTTCGTTTAAATTAATTCAAACAGCAAAAATTTTATTCTCATCATTTAACTGCACTTGAAACAGTAAACCAAAACTTTGCTGGAGTTTGATACTCGATTTTGTCAGTCCGCCACGTATTTCCGACTTTCTTTTTATCTCAACATGGAAGGAAGAAATGTTGCCGTTTGCTTTCTATTTTACCTCTTGATATCTTCCCAATGCGATTTTGATAACGCCTCCTCTGTCGCCACGGTAAGACTTCTAAGTAAACAAGAAAATTTGCTTTCTTGGAACAACGCAAAAATTGTATTGCCAACAAGTTAAAGCAATTAGTTTTCAGTTGTTGAATTTGAAAGTGTTTTAGAGGAGAAAACAAAGAGCTTCTTTTAGAACTATTTAAATGTTTTATCCAAAGCAGCGGAGGACCAAGCTGGCTTCATGTTTATGCTTAATTTAATATTAAATATTGCCAGGCTTTCACTAGATTTTGAAATGATTTGTTTGTAAATACTGGGAAAACCTAGTTTCTAATTACAACTAACACTCGCGCTACGCCTGCGGCAGACAGAGGAGCTAGGCCATTATCCACCATTATTCACGAGAGGGTTTATTTTGAAAACGCGCACCCCTCGCGTGAGTAAAGCCTTACCTAGAGAGAATGATAATGAACTTCGAGGATCTTAAAAAAGGCTTCATCAAGTCTGTGTCATATGTATGGTCAATTTGTTTATTTTCTACTATGGCAGTCCGGAGTGCAAATAAAATAATGACGATTCTCACTGAAAGCAAATTCAGTTAATATTTTACGACCGTCAAGATAAAAAAATGTTTTCTTTACTAATTTCTACTATGAAACAGAACCCTAACACCTGCTTGCGAGGATCACCTGGCCTCCCTGGACGCAACGGAGTTAATGGACATAATGGGTTACCAGGCCGCGACGGCCGAGATGGAGCTAAAGGTGAAAAGGGCGTGTCAGGAACTCCTGGATCCCGTGGTGAGAAGGGAGAAAGGGGATCAAGTGGAACAGACACTGATCACAGAAACTGGAAACAGTGCGCGTGGAAGAACTACGACGGGCGTGACATTGGAATGATCAAGGTTTGTGGATTCTAAAATTAGTGTAATGAACGGCTACAGTCAACTTTGGTATGGTTAGATACTAAGGTTGTGCTTTTAAAAAGGGTGGAAATTTACTGTCCATTGATATCATTACGGGATGAAAAAGGTTCCCTTAAACAGACATGTAAATAAATAATTTAGTTTTATTTGATCTTGCAGTATTGACAGTTCACTAAAACCAAGGATGACACTGCTCTCCGTGCTGTTTACCAGGGAAACTTCCATTTGTCAGGGTGTGGCAGCTGCTGCAAGAGATGGTTCATCACTTTTAACGGCGCCGAGTGCAGTGCTCCTCTGCCTATTGACGCAGTGCTGTGGATCGGAAATACTGGGGAAAACAACCACAGACCCGGGTTCATTGAGGGCTACTGTAACAACATACACAAGGGCAAAATCCGAGTTGGAATCAATATTGGAAATTGTGCAGGATATGGAAACTCCAATGGCAACACAGGCTGGAATTCAGTGTCCCGTTTGATCGTTGAAGAAGTTCCTCGCTCTCAATAGCAAGCTAGTCGGAAACCATCCCGTGATTTTTTGTATTGTTGCCTTAACATTTTGCGGACTAGTGTTTAAAGTAATCTTAAATTGCATATAAACCAGGTCAATTTAAAACTCGTAATATGTCAAGCATGTCACTATGAAGGGATGAAGGTGCCTTTTATGTTAAATAAACATTAAAACGTTGATATTGTCTACTCTTTTATCGCGATGAAATTTTTAAAATCTTGTGTTACCACTCGACTTCTATTTTCAGTGTAGTGAAGTTGTGAAGTCTGGGGTTGGGCTTATTGAAAAGTAACTTTTTTTCTTGAAATCGAAAAAGAGAGCCAGTCGTACAGTTGCAGAAATATTTAACCCTTTGAAGATCGAGGTTGCCATGCAGGAAAAACCAGCTCTTAAAGCGTAGGTTTTGATCGTTCGATGTTAATTGGAGGTAACATTATAATTTTGAAGCCTTCATTCAGAGCGATTCAAAAGAACTTGATTTCTTTAAAAAAGCGACTAGAATCTATATATTCACTCTACTATTTGAAACCTTACAATCTGATCGCAAAAGGTATGCCTTCAGCCAAAATATGGAAAACCAATTTTAGGTGACTGGCCCAATCTCAGTCCCAATGGGCATTCCGCAGTAACCGTTCCCGTCGTTTACGTCCTGAACTATATATAACCGTCTCTATATATAACCGTTATAAACTATAACCGTCTTTATTTGAAAACAAACAAACAATATCAAACGACTACGGTCTCCAGAATAATTGATTTTTCAAAAGTAGCTCACACACCATCTGCGTTACTCGTAACTGACATAATAACCTTCCGTGTTTCCAGAAGAAAATTAAAAGGAAGACAGCTGAGTGAACGAAAATGTCCTCAAAAATTTTTTGTATGGGATAAAAAAGAACTAGTTTGTTTTTAAGCACAAAAATTTGGCGCTGAATTAAATCATCAACATTAACACAATAAATGCGGCAGGAAATACGACTAGCAGAATTACATTAGTGCGTTTTATCGAGCATTTGTCACATACACCGATCGATAACGATCGATAACCAACCAAAGAGTTTATTGACAACCAAATGAATAGTTGGCACTGTTCTTAAATTAGGTCAGCTAACCAAGAACTATGACATCATTGATCTACAAAGCTCAATACCGTGTCGAACCGTGTATACTTGCCACCACTTAAGAATAGAATGTCAAATCAACCTGTCTTAATGAGATGCCTATTCATCGGTGATAATGTACTCCTTTCAATCTTCAGGAGATCCCTGCGCAAAAACTGGCTTATTCGGTGGGCCCTATACTACTTTAAAATAAGGTATCATCGCGTCTCATCGCAAAGTAGGTGGAAACCGGCCTGTTTCCACAGGAGTCCGGATAAATCGGATAGATCACCGATCGAGATATAAGTTCTCTACAATCTGCCTTTTCTGCACCATGCCATAGGCATAACTGCAACCATATCATGGAAACGTTTGTGCATATGTTTTGTCACACCATAGGCGTACAGGTCGGGGGGGCGAGGGGGACTGCAGCCCCCCCAAATTTTGGGCAATTCAGACTTTTTGGGCAGCAAGAGAAAATTTGGGCAAAGCCAGTTTTTTTAAGACGTTTCCATGTTTTTTTATTAGTCTAAAGAGACAAATATTTTCTATTTTAATCTGAAAAAATCTTGAAGTCAGCGTAATAATCCAGTTACTTTCTCTCGAGACACTCACAGTGGTTTCCTAGCACGTGATGAGTTTCTGGTTATAGGGAAGGGTATCATTTGTGATTTACATATTTATAGTTTTTATTGTTGAGCACTGTACTGCACTGCACTGCACTGACTGAAATGAGCTCTTTCCAGTCGTGAATTGATTAGAATAAACTTCCGCATATCTTTCTAGAATCATCTCCGCTCGTAGAACAGGGTATGGCAGATAACATCAGCAACAGTGGGTCTGAAAATGAAGAAGTGGCTGACTAGTAATCCGCTCGAATTACGAGAAGAATATTAAATTTTTTTAAAAGTCTATCAAGCAATAGTTCATTAAAGTAGACCGAAATGTTTACAAAACCGCTAACAAGATCACCTCGATACATACTAATGAAATCCTTGTCTCTAGCAATCGGCCGGAGCTATTTCCATGATGATATCTTTTACACACGTTTTTAAAAAGATTGAAGCTACCATGAGGTGAAATTGCATGTCAAAAGAGCTTCGTTTTCTACAAATAACGGCCAAACATCAAGACTTTTTTTACCATATTTATAACGATAAAAACTTCATCCCAATAACACTCCTATAGATTCCGTTTTAACTTCACGAACATCGAGGCGACTATTGGAGAAAAAAGCTCTCGTGAACAATTTTGTAAGAACAGTTCCCAGAGCCGACAAATATTGCTGCAAGTAAAATAGACAATGTCGTCATTTCGTTGCTATGACAATTGCGATGTCATGAAAACCCTGCTCATGATAAATTTTCATCTTTATCTGATAAAACTACAGTAGCAATTTTTCCAAATGTTTGTCTATGGAGACGTAGTTATTCGCAAAATTGGGAGGTATTGACCCTGAAAAACTGTCATAGTATCGAGCCACCTTCATATGCCAGTACGGCCTACGTTATTGCATCGTATGGCCCTCGTTTCTTTTCTACTGTTTCGTAAAAATTTGGGCAACTTGCGAGAATTTTTTGGGCAAATGGTTTAAAACTGATTTTGGTCCGTTTTTGGGGTCACAAAAAGCAGGCCATTGTGCCAGGCGCTCCTTGTGGAGTCCGTGGAAACTGGGACTAAGAATCGTTGCGTGATTGAAGCCACGCATGTTTTGCGAAGAAAGCTTAAGAAAGATTGAATTTAGGAGTTAATGGACATAATGGGTTACCAGGCCGCGACGGCCGAGATGGAGCTAAAGGTGAAAAGGGCGTGGCAGGTCCTCCTGGACCACGTGGTGAGAAGGGGACCAAGTGGAACAGACACCGATCACAGAAACTGGAAACAGTGCGCGTGGAGGTACTACGACGGGCGTGACATTGGACTGATCAAGGTTTGTCGATTCTGAAATTAGTGCGATGAACGACTACAGTCAACGTTGGGTTGGTTAGATGATAATTATAGCGGAGGTCTTGCGCGCGAAGAGCGCAAAGCAGAGCACCATGGGTAAGAAAATGTGGTAATCTACCCTTCCGAGAAAATTTGGTAATCACGTGACCGTACGCCCGACCGTCCGTCCGCACCACAGGCATGCCAATGTTAAATAATTCAATCAACAGGTATGGCAACCCAAATGCAACTCGAGGTTATTTTGGCGGGAAATCGCATAGCCACCCACGTCTTTTAAAGCATAGGCAGCTATAGAGTCAATAAAGACGAAACCGGAAAGTGGAAATTGTTACTATATCTATGTTTTCTAAAGTATTAAACTTAGATTAATTGTCATGTCCACAAATTTGGAATATAGAGCAAGAGAAAGACAGAGAAAAAGCGGCAGGCCAGCGAAACTCAACGAGAAAAAGGGCGACAGAGATCTAGAGCGAGAGATAAAAAAAGAGAGAGAAAAAAAAAACAAAGGAGACATTTTAACATGAAAATTTTGTAGCGGCGGTGACAATGCTAGCGGCCAACCATGCAGGGAGAAAATGAGCGGCAGTGAAAAAAAAGGACGACATTTCCCCCATGAAAAGTATCTGGAAGCTTCACGTTATAGTAGTGCAAAACAACGGCAAAAAGATGTACGAAAAAAGTGTGCTGCACGTGCAAAGTTGCTTTTTTGCTAATTAGACCTTTTTTTTCACCGTTCTGCGGCGTTGCCTTCACGGTTTAGCATTACACGATTTTATATTTTGTTTAAACAAACTATAAATATTATCGAGAGCTTCGCTTTTAGCCCTGGCTAAATCTATATATTAAGGTTGTGCTTTTAAATAGGATGGAAAGTTACTGACGCAGTGCTGTGGATCGGAAATAAAGACGAAGACAACCACAGACCCGGGTTCATTGAGGGCTACTGTAACAACATACACAAGGGCAAAATCCGAGTTGGAATCAATAATGGCAATTGTGCAGGATATGGGAATTCCACTCGTCAAACAGGCTGGAATTCATTTTCCCGTTTGATCATTGAAGAAGTTCCTCTTTCCCAGTAG